TATTATGCAGTGATTTTATGAAACTTTATGTTTTTATACCTATTATATGTAATTACCTATAAGGATAGGGTATTTTATGATATTTAAGAATCATTTATGTTTTCATTTATGTCATTATTAAGTATGTGTGTTATTACATCACTTAATTTACAATTATTTTTGATGATATTGTATTATTATAGTTATGTATTTAAGACTTTTGTATAACTGGTTTGAATTTTGTTTTTCAACTCGGTCGAGGACGACCTTAATGTCAGAATTGGCCGAACTTTAGTAAACAAATTTGAATTTAAATTTCGCGCCTCCCCGCCGACATTATGTCATCTGTCAGGTAGGTTGGGCGGCAAGAAAAATCTTTGCAACAGAGGTTATGTTATGTTCTTGGCGGCAGCATGTTTTTGTAACGTCTCTCTTGAGAATATATAGTTAAAAAAAGTAATTCGAGTATTATAATTTATTAATTATGGCAGTCAGTTTCTTAAGTTACTACAAAATTGCCTTTAAAAAATACTTCCAGCCCTCATCCATAGTAATTACTCTATATAGATAGGCTTTCTAAAAATCTAAGTTAGAGCAGGAGAAATATATAGAGTTGAGATTTTGATATATACCTACTGGAGAAAATATAACAAGTTCCATGTTCATGAGACTTTAAACTTTCTAAAACTATACAATTATTGAGAACTATATGTTGATTTTTGATATCTTATAAGGGATTATTTTTAGTGCTGTACAAAGAAAAAAGAATTTGTGAATTATTCAAGGTAGATTTAAGACTACAAAATCAACTTAACTACTATTTCTTAGACTTAGATGATTTTTTTTATATCTTGACCAGAATTCAAACTAAAATATGAATGTTGCATTTACCTGTAAGCGTGGAAAACACAAATTTAAACAATTTTTCTTGTTTGATTATTTCAAATAAGTACTTTGCTTCAATAGAAACCAAATTGTATAGAAATTCAGTAAGTCTATATGACAAAACATCAACTATAGACAAACAGACGCTATTTTTAGCATGGTGGCTTATTTGTATGGAAATTTTATCTTATCAATAATCACACACTATTATACTGATCTCCATATGGAGATTAGAGTGCTTTTATCAAGATTGAGGAGAAAAACATATTTGAAATCAAACTAATTCCAAGTCCCTGGTAAATGATCTTTTCCCTTTATTAAAGCATCATTTACGATTCGGGTAAATAAAAGTTAATTTGCCATTTAATTGGAACAATTTAAAAGGCACTTAAGATCATTTTACCAACACCTACACACACAAGTTTTGTATTATCAATTAACATTAATTTATGCCACTTAAAAATTGTGCGATTACAAATTTATCCTACACTATCTCTGTCCTTTTTTAGCAGCAGCTTTCAGTCGACGAAGTGAGTTCACTTGTCAGATGTATTCTAACCTAAGAAAAAAGCTTCTTTTGTTGAAGTTTATCTGTGGATGACTTGTGAAAAACTACATTGAAAATTATTGAATTTTAAAGAGAAAAATGGTAAGCTGTTAATAATTATTATATTTTAAATACATAAAAATTATTATAGGGTCAAAGCCAATCGGGCGGAAACGCTGGAGACAAGAAAGAAGAAAAAGACAAAAAGAAAAAGTACGAGCCCCCAATTCCTACCCGAGTAGGTAAAAAGAAGCGCCGTACTAAGGGTCCCGATACAGCCCTCAAGCTACCAGCAGTCACCCCTCATACCAGATGCCGTTTGAAACTCCTAAAAATGGAAAGAATCAAAGACTACCTTTTGATGGAAGAGGAATTTATTCGCAACCAAGAAAGACTGAAGCCCCAGGAAGAGAAAAACGAAGAGGAGCGTTCCAAGGTTGACGACTTGAGAGGGACCCCAATGTCAGTTGGAAACCTTGAGGAAATCATCGATGATAATCATGCCATTGTCTCAACGTCTGTGGGTAGTGAGCATTATGTGAGCATTTTGTCTTTTGTGGATAAAGATCAGCTTGAACCAGGGTGCTCGGTGTTGCTCAACCACAAAGTGCATGCAGTTGTTGGAGTTTTAGGTAATTATTTTCTATAGAATATAATTACATTTTGAAAGGAATTCAAAGGGTTAGTTACAACATATTTAAGTGTAAAAGTACTGGTAACAGGGCCTACAAAAAAAGTTAATTCATATCAGGTATATTAATTCTGAGTTAGGTATGTACATGTATATTGTAATAAGGAAATATAAAGTATTTTTATGCAAATTAGGTTTTCCTAGATCCCCCTAAGTCTCTCTCAGTGAGATTTCTCTCAGATTACCCCTAATCTTCTCAGATTTACCTGAATCTCCCCCAGAATTGGCATAGGCACAGAATAACCTAAATTATTAAAATATTTTTCCTATTCCAGGCTCTTGAATTTGTCTTACCTACTTAAATGTTTATAATTTATTGGTCAAAAATAGACAACAATTAGAATGAAAAATGAGAGAAATAGAGAGAGAAGAACTACTTAATTACACTAACATTCTTGCTCTGGATTTGTGGAATTTAAAACTTGGCTTCAAAAGTTATGAGCTAATGAAACCTCGAATGAAATGTCCTTTCTAATCTTTTCTTTCCTATGTATAGTTTTTAAATAACCATACAGTTTTATACTCGGTTTTATATATTTTCCTATAGTTCTACATTTGGGAGAATTTGTGAAGAATTTATGAGGAATTTAAAAGAAATTGTCAAATTTAAAAAATTCAAAAAAAATAATGAATACAGTTTTTGTAAGCTGATTTCCAAGATTTTTCATGTTATTTTCCACTGAAAAAATTTGAAATTTTGGGAAAATAAGCTTCACACCTTCCTCTCTACATGCAGAAAGTTTCAAAATTTTCCCTTCACTAGTTTTCCAGGAAAACTTTGAAATGTGTCAGACTGTATTTTCAACTTATTCAGTTTTTGTAAGTTGATTCCCAAGATTTTTCATGTTGCTGTTTTCTACTGGAAAATTTTGAAATTTTGAGAAAATGAGCTTCTCACCTTTCTTTTTACATACAAAAAGTTTCAAAATTCTCCCTTTACTCACTAGTTTTCCAGGAAAACTTTGAAATGTGTGAGACTGTATTTTCAACTAAGTAATTCAGTTTTTGTAGGTTGATTTCCAAGATTTTTCATGTTGCTACTTTCCAGTGGAAAAATTTGAAATTTTGGGAAAATGAGCTTCTCACCTTCCTCTTTACATGCAAAAAGTTTCAAATTTCTCTCTTCACTATTTTTGCAGGAAAACTTTGAAATGCGTGAGACTGTATTTTCAACTAATTCAGTTTTTGTAGGTGGATTTCCAAGATTTTTCATGTTGTTATTTTTCGCTAGAAAAATTTGAAACGTTGAGAAAATGAGCTTCTTACTTTCCTCTTTACATGCAAAAAGTTTCAAAATTTTCCCTCCACTAGTTTTCCAGGAAAACTTTGAAATATGTGAGACGTATTTTCAATTAATTCAGTTATTGTAGGTTGATTTTCAAAATTCCTCATGTTGTAATTTTCTATTGGAAAAATTTGAAATTCTGGGAAAATGAGTTTCTCACCTTTCTCTTTACATGCAAAAAGTTTCAAAATTCTCCCTTTACTCACTAGTTTTCCAGGAAAACTTTGAAATGTGTGAGACTGTATTTTCAACTAATTCAGTTTTTGTAGGTTGATTTCCAAGATTTTTCAATTTGGTATTTTTCACTGAAAAAATTTGAAATTTTGGGAAAATGAGCTTCTCACCTTATTCTTTACATGCAAAAAGTTTTAAAATTTTCTCTTCTCTAGTTTTCCAGGAAAACTTTGAAATGTGTGACTTGTGTGAGATTGTATTTTCAACTAATTCAGTTTTTGTCGGTTGATTTCCAAGATTTTTCATGTTGCTGTTTTCCACTGGAAAAATTTGAAATTTTGGGAAAATGAAGTTCTCACCTTCCTCTTTACATGCAAAAAATTTCAAAATTTTCCCTTTACTAGTTTTCCAGGAAAACTTTGAAATGTGTGAGACTGTATTTTCAACTAATTCAGTTTTTGTAGGTTGATTTCCAAGATTTTTCAAGTTGTTATTTTTCACTGGAAAAATTTGAAATTCTGGGAAAATGAGCTTCTCATCTTCTTGCAAAAAGTTTTAAAATTTTCTCTTCTCTAGTTTTCCAGGAAAACTTTGAAATATATGAGACAAGACTGTATTTTCAAATAATTCAGTTATTGTAGGTTGATTTTCAAGAATCCTCATGTTGTAATTTTCTACTGGAAAAAATTTGAAATTCTGGGAAAATGAGTTTCTCACCTTTCTCTTTACATGCAAAAAGTTTCAAAATTCTCCCTTTACTCACTAGTTTTCCAGGAAAACTTTGAAATGTGTGAGACTGTATTCTCAACTAATTCAGTTTTTGTAGGTTGATTTCCAAGATTTTTCAATTTGGTATTTTTCACTGGAAAAATTTGAAATTTTGGGAAAATGAGCTTCTCACCTTATTCTTTACATGCAAAAAGTTTTAAAATTTTCTCTTCTCTAGTTTTCCAGGAAAACTTTGAAATGTGTGACTTGTGTGAGACTGTATTTTCAACTAATTCAGTTTTTATCGGTTGATTTCCAAGACTTTTCATGTTGCTGTTTTCCACTGGAAAAATTTGAAATTTTGGGAAAATGAACTTCTCACCTTCCTCTTTACATGCAAAAAATTTCAAAATTTTCCCTTTACTAGTTTTCCAGGAAAACTTTGAAATGTGTAAGACTGTATTTTCAACTAATTCAGTTTTTGTAGGTTGATTTCCAAGATTTTTCAAGTTGTTATTTTTCACTGGAAAAATTTGAAATTCTGGGAAAATGAGCTTCTCATCTTCTTGCAAAAAGTTTTGAAATTTTCTCTTCTCTAGTTTTCCAGGAAAACTTTGAAATATATGAGACAAGACTGTATTTTCAAATAATTCAGTTATTGTAGGTTGATTTTCAAGATTCCTCATGTTGTAATTTTCTACTGGAAAAATTTGAAATTCTGGGAAAATGAGTTTCTCACCTTTCTCTTTACATGCAAAAAGTTTCAAAATTCTCCCTTTACTCACTAGTTTTCCAGGAAAACTTTGAAATGTGTGAGACTGTATTCTCAACTAATTCAGTTTTTGTAGGTTGATTTCCAAGATTTTTCAATTTGGTATTTTTCACTGGAAAAATTTGAAATTTTGGGAAAATGAGCTTCTCACCTTATTCTTTACATGCAAAAAGTTTTAAAATTTTCTCTTCTCTAGTTTTCCAGGAAAACTTTGAAATGTGTGACTTGTGTGAGACTGTATTTTCAACTAATTCAGTTTTTATCGGTTGATTTCCAAGACTTTTCATGTTGCTGTTTTCCACTGGAAAAATTTGAAATTTTGGGAAAATGAACTTCTCACCTTCCTCTTTACATGCAAAAAATTTCAAAATTTTCCCTTTACTAGTTTTCCAGGAAAACTTTGAAATGTGTAAGACTGTATTTTCAACTAATTCAGTTTTTGTAGGTTGATTTCCAAGATTTTTCAAGTTGTTATTTTTCACTGGAAAAATTTGAAATTCTGGGAAAATGAGCTTCTCATCTTCTTGCAAAAAGTTTTGAAATTTTCTCTTCTCTAGTTTTCCAGGAAAACTTTGAAATATATGAGACAAGACTGTATTTTCAAATAATTCAGTTATTGTAGGTTGATTTTCAAGATTCCTCATGTTGTAATTTTCTACTGGAAAAATTTGAAATTCTGGGAAAATGAGCTTCTCACCTTTCTCTTTACATGCAAAAAGTTTCAAAATTTTCCCTTCACTTACTAGTTTTCCAGGAAAACTTTGAAATGTGTGAGACTGTATTCTCAACCAATTCAGTTTTTGTAGGTTGATTTCCAAGATTTTTCAATTTGGTATTTTTCACTGGAAAAATTTGAAATTTTGGGAAAATGAGCTTCTCACCTTATTCTTTACATGCAAAAAGTTTTAAAATTTTCTCTTCTCTATTTTTCCAGGAAAACTTTGAAATGTGTGACTTGTGTGAGACTGTATTTTCAACTAATTCAGTTTTTGTCGGTTGATTTCCAAGACTTTTCATGTTGCTGTTTTCCACTGGAAAAATTTGAAATTTTGGGAAAATGAACTTCTCACCTTCCTCTTTACATGCAAAAAATTTCAAAATTTTCCCTTTACTAGTTTTCCAGGAAAACTTTGAAATGTGTGAGACTGTATTTTCAACTAATTCAGTTTTTGTAGGTTGATTTCCAAGATTTTTCAAGTTGTTATTTTTCACTGGAAAAATTTGAAATTCTGGGAAAATGAGCTTCTCATCTTCTTGCAAAAAGTTTTGAAATTTTCTCTTCTCTAGTTTTCCAGGAAAACTTTGAAATATATGAGACAAGACTGTATTTTCAAATAATTCAGTTATTGTAGGTTGATTTCAAGATTCCTCATGTTGTAATTTTCTACTGGAAAAATTTGAAATTCTGGGAAAATGAGCTTCTCACCTTTCTCTTTACATGCAAAAAGTTTCAAAATTTTCCCTTCACTTACTAGTTTTCCAGGAAAACTTTGAAATGTGTGAGACTGTATTCTCAACCAATTCAGTTTTTGTAGGTTGATTTCCAAGATTTTTCAATTTGGTATTTTTCACTGGAAAAATTTGAAATTTTGGGAAAATGAGCTTCTCACCTTATTCTTTACATGCAAAAAGTTTTAAAATTTTCTCTTCTCTATTTTTCCAGGAAAACTTTGAAATGTGTGACTTGTGTGAGACTGTATTTTCAACTAATTCAGTTTTTGTCGGTTGATTTCCAAGACTTTTCATGTTGCTGTTTTCCACTGGAAAAATTTGAAATTTTGGGAAAATGAACTTCTCACCTTCCTCTTTACATGCAAAAAATTTCAAAATTTTCCCTTTACTAGTTTTCCAGGAAAACTTTGAAATGTGTGAGACTGTATTTTCAACTAATTCAGTTTTTGTAGGTTGATTTCCAAGATTTTTCAAGTTGTTATTTTTCACTGGAAAAATTTGAAATTCTGGGAAAATGAGCTTCTCATCTTCTTGCAAAAAGTTTTGAAAT